TCTTCCTGTAAACAAAAAAAGTCATGTAAGCTTCAGGGAGTTGGGAGAGTCATGAGACTTGGATCTACCTCTCACAGGTCAAACAGACTCCAGATAAGTACAGCCCAAGTTTCCCTACCTGCCTTTTCCTGAAGGTGTGCTCTCTCTCTCCCCTGGTCTTGGGACTATTCCCCTTCCCCAACTACCAGGACCATGGGCCTGAAAGTTCCAAATGTAAAATTTTCCTTTAGATTCTTAAAATTTTGTTTTTTTTTTTTTTTTTTTTTTTGGTTTTTCGAGACAGGGTTTCTCTGTGTAGCTTTGCGCCTTTCCTGGAACTCACTTGGTAGTCCAGGCTGGCCTCGAACTCACAGAGATCCGCCTGCCTCTGCCTCCCGAGTGCTGGGATTAAAGGAGATTCTTAAAATTTAACTTCTGTTCTTAGTCTATATCTGTTTCAGCAGATTTGCACTCAGCTGACAGACACCATCCTGGAATCAGCTGTGGACTACAAACTGCTCCAAATGGCTTCAAGCCCTGGACTTGCTGAAAGGTGATATAAACCACTCTAGCCAATGTTATTGCTTCTTATGTCTTCAGCTGGGTCAGCTAACCAAATGCTTCTGATGAATGCCCCATTACCTGAATGCCCTCCCGGCCTTTGACTAGCATTCCATCCTTCCTGGATCCTGACAACAATGTCCTAATTTCAGCAACAAGTAGTTACAGAAGAGTGCACATTACTCATTCTCTACAAAAGACTGGAATGTGCCGGGCGGTGGTGGCACACGCCTTTAATCCCAGCACTCGGGAGGCAGAGCCAGGCGGATCTCTGTGAGTTCGAGGCCAGCCTGGGCTACCAAGTGAGTTCCAGGAAAGGCGCAAAGCTACACAGAGAAACCCTGTCTCGAAAAACCAAAAAAAAAAAAAAAAAAAAAAAAAAAAAGACTGGAATGTTAGTTCAAAAGGAAAATCCCTGGCATAGAGGAAAAATGGTTACCTATATGCCTATTGGCATACCAGGAAAGGTACCTGTTAAAACAAAATAGACCAAAAACTATCAACAGGTAGATTTATTAGCTCAAATAGTTTTACAACATGCTAGGGCACTTGACCTGTTTTATGAAGGACAATGTTATTGTGTGGCTTTAAGAAAAATTCTTTTTTTTCCCCCGGTTTTTCGAGACAGGGTTTCTCTGTGTAACAGAGTCCTGGCTGTCCTGGAACTTGCTTTGTAGACCAGGCTGGCTTCGAACTCACAGAGATCCTCCTGCCTCTGCCTCCTGAGTGCTGGGATTAAAGGTGTGCGCCACCACCGCCGCCGGGCTCTTTTTTCTTTTTAAACCACTTGAACTCTGTCATAGTTGGGTTTCTATTGCTGTGACCAAACACCATGGCCAAAAAGCAAGTTGGAGAGGAGAGGGTTTATTCGGCTTACACTTCCATATTGCTGATGTTCATTACGGAAGGAAGTCAGGACAGGGCAGGATCCTGGAGGCAGGAAGTGATGCAGAGAGCATGGAAGGGTGCTGCTTACTGGTTTGCTCTCACGGCTTGCTCAGCCTGTTTTCTTACAGAATCCAGGACCACCAGCCCAGGGAGGGCACCACCCACCATGAGCAATGCCTTCCCCCATTGATCAGCTGGATCTCATGGAGGCATTTCCTCAACTGAGGCTCCTTCTTCTGATGACTCAAGCTTGTGTCAAGTTGACACTCAAATTGGCCAGTACAAAAACCATTAGAGAAAACCAGAGAGGATTAGATATACTAACAGCAAAGAAGGGTGGCCTTTGCCTCTTCCTCAGGGAGGAATGTTGCTTCTATATTAACCAATAAGGTATAATAAAATCCCCTTTATAAGTCCCAGCTTAGCCAGACTGAAGATGCTCCGTCCCCAGTTTGGGTCAAAACTGAATAAATTGGTTTTTCTATTTTTATCTACTTTGTTATTTTTCTCTCTGTATGGTGGGCCAGGTCTCACAACAGGGTGTCCACTCACACTCTGGCCAAAAAGCCACAAGGTTGTGCTCGACATCCGTGCTCTCTTAACTCCCACAGGACTCCCACCCCAACTCAATCACAGCATCCCTCTGCAGCTGCTTCAGCACAAGCCCACACTCAGCAACACAGGCTCCTCCCTGCTGCCACCACTCACTTCACAGCACACCTCGGAGAGCTCTGCACACTCCATGCCAAGGCCTGGACTTCTGCCCACAGAGGCCTGGAGTCCTTGTTAAGAGTCCAGATTCCGGCCGGGCAGTGGTGGTGCATGCCTTTAATCCCAGCACTCGGGAGGCAGAGCCAGGCGGATCTCTGTGAGTTCGAGGCCAGCCTGGGCTACCAAGTGAGTTCCAGGAGAAACTCACAAAAGGCGCAAAGCTACACAGAGAAACCCTGTCTCGAAAAACCAAAAAAAAAAAAAAAAAAAAAAAAAAAGAGTCCAGATTCCCTCTGCATCCTGGCAAAGATAACACCATCAGACTACCTGAAAAACAAAGTGTAAATGGTTATTTAAGACACTGGTTACAATTTTCCTCAGTCTTTCTTCAGGAAAAGGTCAATAATGTGCAAGTTCCCTAGCAATTGTAAAGTTTCATACCATAAGATACTGAAACCACTAGGAAAGTACTTCACTTCTGTACAGTCAGGAAGGCTTTGGAATGTTGAAGTGTGAAAGTCTGTCTTACAGTAGCAGGGGATTCTTTTCTACTGTGTGTACATATATTAAAGAGGTGGTGACACCTCATATTATGAAAATCCATTCTCTCTGTATTTTCAAAGGTTTTTTGTCTTTTGTTTTTTGTTTTTTCGAGACAGGGTTTCTCTGTGTGTAGCTTTGGCTGCCTTGGAACTCACTCTGTAGACCAGGCTGGCCTTGAACTCACAGAGATCCACCTGCCTCTGTCTCCCAAGTTCTGGGATTAAAGGTGTGTGCCACCAGCACCTGGCTCTTGTCTCCTTTTTTAAAACTGAAAACTAGGCAGGGTTATTGGGAAATGGGAAGTGAAGCCCTAAGGATCATGGAAGTGAGGGTCTGGAATGAACCTTCTAGTATGTGATACTGAGAACACTTCAAGATCTACTGATAATAAAATGTCAGCATTTTCTAAAAGAATGTTGAGTACATAGAAAATGCATGGAGCCAAAAGTGTGCGTGTGCGTGTGCGTGTGTGCGCACGTATGCGCATGTGTAAGTTGTCAAAGGGTGAAAACACCCAGTCAGCACTGCAGAGAATATCAATATACCTATGAGAGAACATAAGATTAAAGTGAAGGAGTGGGTGAACATGCTCTCGCCTTGCCTTGTTTGGAGTCCTCGGTGTACAACAGAGTAACCTTAAATTTGCAATGACCTCCCTACCCATGCCACCTAAGAAAGGTCACATCATGCCCTGCTTCACAGATGGTTTTGAGAGAAGACTACAGGAGCGTTGCTCTTGTGAGAAGTTTCAGGGTCAGAGACATAGATAGCTCCAGGGTTCCTGAAAGACTAGGCTCAGAAATTTGTCTCTACGCATCAAAATATAATAAAACTACGTAAAAGTTAATTAATGCAAAATCCATTTCTGCTCCTTTGTCTGCATCTTCTCAGCATCCAGTCTTATTGCATCCAGTCTCCCCACTTTCCATACTTTTACCTTCCCGGCAACAACCTTGCAGCCAGCCACCGAGCCACAGTCCATCAGGACTACGGCGTGCTCTAGTTTTCTAGATGATAAAGGCCTTGATCAGAAACAGCTTGGGGAACAAATGGGTTTAGTTCGGCTCACAGGCTAAAGTTCATTGGGCAAAGTCAGATCAGGAACTCAACACTCAGCTAGCTTTCTTATACATTCCAAGTCTGTCTGCCTAGGGAATTGCGCCACATCAATAACCAAGCCCCACCCCCCTTCCTTCAACCTGATCTGGCCAGTTCCTCAACTGAGACTCCCTTTTCAGGTGACTTTAGATTGTCAGACTGACAATTAAAGATAACTGGGATAGATCAGTTGGCTCCTTGAGTGGATGAACCACAACCAGAAGGTAAAACAGCATGTCTCTTTCTCTTTGTTCTCAGTGGAATTGAGGCAAGAAGAGTTGCAGAAGCTGACATATGAGTTTGGGTTGAATTTTCACTTCCTAGTGGCTTGTGTTGACCATATGAATGGACTCACATTCCATCTTGCAAAACTGTCCACTGTTCCTTTTGACAAATCATACTTGCACACTTTCTGACCCTTTGCTCCTTAATTACATTTTCTCTTTACTGTTTGACTGTCTTACCAGTACACAGTGTGGAGAGATTATATTCATTCTTCCTTGGTTGGACACAGAACCCTGACATCCAAATCCTGGAGAAGCTAAGAGCCCAGCCATGCCAGTACCCTGAGCTCCCCTGTGCTGAATCTGTGAGCCAGAAACAAACTAACCTCCTGGGTGGCAGCTACCTTACCTCTCTGGGCCCTAAAAAACCATTCAGTCCTCAGTGATGATGTTCACCACATATTAGAACCATGACATCAAAATTATCTGCCTAGTGACCTCTCCTGGAACCAGTCTAACCGCAGCAGAATTGTCACAGAGACTCTTGTGTGAGGTCATGACACTGAGTGCTTGAGACTGAGAGAAAGGGGAACCAGTGCTGGGAACTGAAGGTGGCTGTTTCCTGGAGGTACAGCTGAGGGGGCAGAAAAGGGTCCTTGTCTTGTCCCTCTGCATTTGTGTGCTAAGGGGTAATGTACCCCCTTCTCATCTTTTCCTAAAGATAGAAATTGTCTATTCTCCAAGATGCTGTATAGAACCACCAAATCCATGTCTCAAGAGGAGCAGGCCAGGCAGCAGGGAGCCCCCCTGACTAAGGAGCAGGGCCCCTTCACCCTATTAACCCTGGACAGTAACCTTAGCTCATAACCAGTGTCACCATTGGTAGACATGTGAGCTGTCAGGCCCCTTGTGTCCACCGGCTTGTCACCCACTGCATGACTGCCACCAGAGGCACAGGGCAGCATTCATACACAAGAACTGCATGTTTCAGGCCCCTCTGATCCATCTGAGTCAGTCTCCAGTCTCAGATCTTTATTTACTCAATAGTTTAAGTGATTGTTCTGGGAGACAGAATCATATGGACAGTATTCAGAAGACACACAGAGTAGTGCTCCCTAGTGTTTTGATCAGTTTTCTCCCCAAATGACCCATTTCCATACAGCTTTTCTTGATTTTGGGTTTGTCCACTGGAGTGTCAAAGGTGAGACTGGATATTAGATGCACAGATCATCCATTTCCCATGACTGAGAAACCCAGTGCATTAATGGGCCCCAACTGTGTGGCAGTCTTGTACTAATGGGCAGTTACAGCTGATTTCTGCTGAAAGAAATGTGCAGTCAATTATCTTGTTTTTGTTTTTTGTTTTTCGAGACAGGGTTTCTCTGTGTAGCTTTGCGCCTTTTCCTGGAACTCACTTGGTAGCCCAGGCTGGCCTTGAACTCACAGAGATCCGCTTGGCTCTGCCTCCCGAGTGCTGGGATTAAAGGCGTGCGCCACCACCGCCCGGCTTAATTATCTTGTATTTGTATTACGTGTGTATACCTTCTAGATCAATTCCTAAATGCCAAATGTAGCTGGATCATGTGTCATTCTGAGAATCATGGCCAAGTTGTTCATGATGCATGAACAATTCTTGATGGATATCAGAGGTATGTTTCCACCTATTGAATGCAGGACGAAACACTTTGTTGTTTGTACCGGGGATGAACTATGAGACACAAGTATTAAGTATAAAAGGCGAGACATTCCTATTTCTGTAATTGTGTAGTAGTTGGACTTGAGGTTGGGTGACACTTGAGCTGGTCAGATAAAGGGAGGTCTGGAGAACTATATATATCCAAACCCTGATGTTAAGAGGAAGACTCCAGGTTACAGTTAGCAGTTGACCAGCCTCACCCATATTTCTAAAGGGAAACCAGACCCCTGGTAGCTGAAATTGTGGTGGCCATCAAGATCTGCTTCTTGAGCTCTGCCTTGTCCATCTTCCACATTGAATGCTGCACTAAGATGAAGAGCTGATTTAGAGTAGTCAAAGCTGGGTCCTGAGTTCTTAGAGGACCCAGATACAAGTGAGTCCTCAGCCTTGCCCTCAGCAAGTGGTTATTCTGATAGGGAGGTTGTAGGCAGACACATCCATGATGGATTACAGCAGGCATGGGGGGATAGCTGAGTGACAGAACCACCACGAGCTTGTTGTTACTGGGAGTGGGGCAGGTGGGCATTCAGATTCAGCACAAGTGTTATAGGATGCTTTCAAGCCAGTTTCCGGAGACATAAGAACCAGAATCAGTCATAAAACAATGCTGAACTGGCACCACAGCCTAGCCTATGCATGATGGATGTTCTAGTACTACAACCCAGCATGGCTGATAGTCATAATTCCCGTTTTACACATCAGAACTCATGTTGAATTGCTTACTAGGAAAGGTAGTTACTAATGGTCTAGACAGGGCCAGGGTGGAAAGCAACATGTTGGACATAAGCTGAAAGGCAGTTCAGTGTTGCACTGAGTACCTCGGGCTGCCTTTTACTCTGGCCTCACTCTGTGATGTCTTCAAAGCCAGTAAGACAGGGTTGGGTGCAGGTCTCACAGGGTGATGGACTAAACTGAATGATTTGCACCAGGAAGAATGAACTGCTGTGTCATTTTCCAGGATGTAGCAGCACAGGTGTCCTGGTGTCATTTCTGGGTGTAAATGGTACTTGTCTATGCATCCTTCTAACAAAAGTATCATCAATTAGACTTTATTTCTTTTATGCACCTCCTAACAAAAGGCAGGCCAAAGATGAGAAAACTGCCATTGCCGGGCAGGAATTCCTCACTGGAATGCCTAACCCAATCTTGGCTAGACCTAACCCATGGACATCGGTGAGGAGGATTGGTCCAACTGGCCCATAACCTCACCCTAAAGCACTAAGCTTGCAGGTGGCTCTTTTCCATCTCTAACCACCCCCTAGAGTTTAAGGACTTGGCAAAATCCATGAGTAATACGTCACAGGAGAATAGGCATGGTTGGTGCAGATGAGGGAGAATATTCTAGTTACTTGTTGCTGCAACACAACAAATCAAGATAACTTTTAATGTTCTAGAGTTACTGTTACCTTCCAAGGTTCATGTTAAGTCAGGGACTTGGGAAGGATCATCTGAGTAGCTGTGGAATTAGTTTTCCATACAGCTGATGAGGTTTAACCAGAATCCCAACCATAGGAATGATGTCCTGGATCAATCTTCATGTCTTCAATGTTCATCTCTGGGCCTCTCTGCATTGGCTCAATTGGTTTTTCTCATAGTATATTGGCCTCAACATGACTTGAATTACTAAATGGCAGAGGACGGCTTCAAGAACAAGCATTCAGATAAGCAATGTAGATGCTCTATTGCTTTTAGTGTGGCCTCAAACACCACATTGCTTCTGTTATTATTTTACCCATTGAAACTAAGATAAAATCCTGGAGAGAGTAGGGACACAGACTCACCTTTCAGCAGGGTAGTCAGATTGACACTGTGTACATGTTGGATGGAAGACGTTATTATGATAGTGTTTTGTAAAAATACCATTTGGCCAAGGTAGTGGCACATCCCTGTAATCCCAGCACTTGGGAGGTGGAAGTAGAAGATTCAAGATTTCATGGCCATCCTCTGCTATACAGCCAATCAGAATCTAGCCTGGACTATGTGAGGCTCAGTCTCAAAGAAACAAACAAAGCTGAAATAAACAAACAAGAAATACATGATCCGACATAGGAGGGAATATTCATGTCTAGAGGGCCTCGGTGAGAGAAAAATGAGGGGCACAGGTGGTTGGGTAAGTTGAGGGCCAGGGTTCCATAGGAAGAACAGCAACATGCGAAAGGCTAGTGGAAGGAGTTCAAACATGGGAAGCAGAGTGAGGACAAAGAGGAACAGGAAATTCGGGAATAGTGGATGAGAAAAGAATGACCAAAGAAGGTACCGAGATGTAACAGAAGAACCAGGAAGGCAGGCCATGAGTACACACTGGCATCCAAGAGCCTGCTATACTACGCTGATTTTCCTAGATTGCTTCAGAATAGTTCACAAAATATTAGGAACTGATTTTCTTGCCATGTTTGAGACCGGAATTTGGAAATCAAGATACTGGCCAAGTGATGGCTAATTTTGGAAACTCCCAAGAAGAAAGCTTCTCTAGCTTCTGTTGCTAACATTCCAGGGCTTGGAGGTATGGCACTGAAACCCCTGCTTCCATGGTCCTGTCTTTCAAAAATTTTGAGTCTTCATATGGCTTTTTCACAAGACTGCCACTCATTAGATTTAGGACCAACACTGACCAAGCATGTCTGCATTCTAAGTTACTTCTATAAAGAAGCCATTTCCATAAGGCTACGTTCTGAGGTTCTGGAAGAACATAAATTATGGAGGAATATTACTCACACCAGCACTGGGGAGGCACTACCATGGGTTCATGAACATTCTGAGTTTCTGTTTCTCTCTCAAATGGAACCCTGAAGGAGATGCTCTATAAGTACCTGAGACTGGACAAGGTGGTGAAGAATTCATTGAAAGACCTGGGAATTGAAAGACCTGGGAAGTCAAAACTGGTCACTTTGTCTGCCGACCACCATGCTACAGACAAGTCCAGGACTTATATCCTTTCCTAGACAGAGATGAGAAATGTTTTGTGACATTTAAAAATATTAGTATCCATCCAGGCAGAGTGGCACACACTTTTAATCCCAGCACTTGGGAGGCAGAGGCGGCAGCTCTCTGTGAGTTAAAGGCCAGCCTGGTCTATATAGTGAGTTCTAGGACAGCCTGAACTGAACTATATAGTGAGACCCCGTCTTGTAAAAACAAACAAACAAACAAACAAACAAACAATAGTATCCCACAATAAACAGAGAAACCACTGATGTAATTTCCAACAAACTTTCCTATAGCCTAGAAACTTTGTATCATTAACTATAGAAGGTTTACCTCAAATCATCAATCAACATTTCTTCATGCAAGGAAACAATATTTGTGCTTCTTCCTACAAGTTCATTAATAATTCTCTCACATATAATTATTTATATGTTTAAACAAGCAATGCATAGCTATACTTTTTTTCAACTATGAACTATGGCTTATAGTTAGGTTTGCATATGTATTGTGTGTGGCATGTATGTGTGTATGTGTGTGCCTGTGGTATCCAGAAGACAAAGAATTTAACAACTGAGTGTAATATCTCCCTAGTCCTACTTAGGTCTGTGATAAAATATTTTTTCATAAAAACCAAGAATATTTTGATGAGGGATGAGGAATTGACTCTACAATGAATTCTTTTATATGATCAGGTGTCTTTAAGAAGATTGCCTGGTATGAACACTCGAGTCTACTGAAATGACATGATTTTGAAGGACTTGGTGCATTCACAACACAAATAATGTCTCTTCCCAGTATGGTGTGGATGGTGCGCCAATAGTATCCCACAGCTTCAGTAATGGTAATACGTGTGACCTTGATGATACACCTTCGGCTGATACATAACAATGACAGACTTCCCATAGACAGAGCGTCACTATAGTTTCTCTGCACTGTGAGTTTGCTCCTAGGATGTCACTTGTGAATTCTGCAGGAAGCCCTTTTCTGCTTTGTTATGGACAAAAGATCTCTCCTTACTGTGAATTTTACAATGTCTATAGAAAGAGGACTTATCACTGAAGGCCCTCCCACACTCAGCACACACATACGGCTTCTCGCCTGTGTGAATTCGCTGATGCTCTTTGAGATTGGCTTTAGAAGACATGGCTTTCCCACAGTCGCTGCATATGTAAGGCTTTTCTCCAGTGTGAATTCTCTGATGTGTGCTGAGAACCGACCTATCATTGAAGGCCTTCCCACACTCAGAACACACATAAGGTTTCTCCCCAGTGTGAATTCGGTGATGGACCTTCAGGTGGGATGCTCTCCGGAATGACTTCCCACAGTCAGAGCATTTGTAAGGTTTCTCACCAGTGTGAGTTTGCTGATGCATCTGCAGGTGAGAGTTTCTTCTGAATGACTTCCCACAGTCATCACATTTGTAAGGTCTCTCACCAGTGTGAATTCGATGATGTACATGTAGGTGTGATTTCACACTGTATGATTTCCCACAGTCATGGCATTTGTAAGGCTTCTCCCCTGTGTGAACTCGACAATGCTTCTTCAGATCTGAAGCATACAGAAACAACTTTCCACAGTCGCTACATGGGTAACATTTCTCCCCAGTGTGAATTCTTTGATGTGTGGTGAGGACTGACTTTTGGCTGAAGGCCATCCCACAGTCAGAACATACAAAAGATCTACCATCAGTGTGAATTTGATGATGGACCTTCAATTGGGATATTTTCCTGAATGACTCCCCACAGTCAAAGCACTTGTAAGGTCCCTCACTGGTGTGAATTCGATGGTGTGCAAGCAGGTTAGATTTAATACTGAAAGATTTCCCACAGTCAGGGCACTCATAAGGCTTTTCCCCTGTGTGAAATCGACAATGCTTTGTCAGATCTGATGCACAAACAAACATTTTCCCACAGTCACTGCACGTGTAAGGCTTTTCTCCAGTGTGAATTCTCTGATGTATGGTGAGGACCGACTTTTGGCTGAAGGCTTTTCCACAGTCAGAACATGCATAAGGTTTCTCCCCAGTGTGTGTTCGAAGGTGCACCTTTAGGTGGGATGTATAACTGAATGATTTCCCACACACATGGCATTCATAACGCTTCTCCTTTGTGTGGATGTCACGGTGCACTTGCAAGCTGGACATACTCCTAAGTGATTTTGCACAGTCAGGACATTCATAAGGTGTTTCTTCTCTATGAGTGTCTGGATGGGAGGTCAATTTAGACTTGTGGAGAAAGGTTTTCCCACATGTGTGACAGATAAAAGACGTCTCCATATTGTTAGTTATTTGTTGTTGACAGAAAGCTGACTCACCAGTGAAGACCTTGCCACATCCAGTATAGTCAACTGCTTTGTCTTGAAAATTAATTTCATGCTCCATAAGTGGTAGACTGGGAGACAGAACGTTTCCAAACTGACTTTCACTGTATGAGTTCTCTCTGTGATGAGGAATTGTACACACACTGTTAGAAGAGCCTTGTGTAAAAAACTGATGAGATCCAATGTCACTAACCTGCTTTGTGGTACTGCTTTGATTGTCACTGTATGCTTCAAGGTTAGGCTTCAGACTTTTTGCCAATGAGAAACCCCTTGGAGGTACATATTGTGTAGAAATGAGGTGGGGTCCCAAAAGAACAGACTCTCCAGTTTCTTCACAGTCACAGCCGCCGTCTCTGTTTGGTGTTTTCTGATTCTGGAAAGCACCAGGACTGACGGGTGGGATCTGTCTTTGCTGATCTGTCTTTGCTGTAGTATTGCTATCCTGCCACAGTTTCTCTAAAACGGAACAATAGGAGCCATGTCCTGCGACTTCGCTGGATGCATCACTTAGAAACGAAGCTTTCACAAAAGTTTGTTGATGTGGTGTGTCAAGCTGTAATTCACCTGCAGAGAAGAGGAAGAGATGAAGGAGCAGGCACAGTGAACAGGACGGAGGAGGAATCACATGGAACTGAATTTGAACCCTAAGAAATCTGAGTCAGGCAGTAGTCATGCTCATCATGTGGATGATAGTGGTAAGGAACACTACCACAGCCCTTAGTACACACCAAACTCCATATATACAGCACCCATGCATGCTAGGCAACTTTGTATGCACCAGACACATGAACTCAAACTAATTCCCCAAATAGCCACATCTACTCTCCTTTTTTTATATATGAGAAATTGGGAACTATGGTCAGTGGCCAAAATCACTTAGTTTAGTGGGCCAAGATTTGGTTTGGGCAAAGGCAACCAGTTCAACAAATACGAGACCTAGCTATACATATGTAGTAAATAGGATGGACTCTGACAAGGCTGTTATACTGCATTGTTGGTGGATAGCTAAGACCTACAGAACAGACTGCCCAGAAGACTTCATTAGCTCTTAGAGATGCATATTCATGCCCTTTGCCCTTTTCTCGTCTGCTTTTTTGGTTTTTTTTCTTTATTGTGGTAGTAAGGATTAAAGCAGAGCCTCACCCATGCCAAGCAAGCATTCGACCCTGAGCAATAAACCTATACTCTCAGATTGTTATTCTTTATTTTATTTTTTTAAATCACACACACACACACACATATGCATGTGCAGAAGAGGTGGGGCTGGAAAGATGGTGTGGTTAAGAACACTTGCTGCTCTTGCTGATGACCCAGGTTTGCTTCCCAGCACCCACATGACAACTAAATTATAACTACAGTTCCAAGGAATCTGACACCCTCTTCTAGCTTCTACAGGTACTGCACCATACATGGTGCATGAACAGAAAGGAAGGCAAAACACCCATACACAAAATAAAATAAAATAAAATCTTAATACATACCTACACCCACATTCTCTCTCTCTCTCTCTCTCTCTCTCTCTCTCTCTCTCTCTCTCTCTCTCTGTGTGTGTGTGTGTGTGTGTGTATGCACTTGCACGTGTTGCACATGCCAAGGTATGTGTGTGGAATTCAAAGGACAACTTGGGGAGTCAGCCTTGCCTCTTACATGCAGGCTCCATGAATCAAACTCACTACTGCCAGCACAAAACAACACATGGAAATATCCAAAGGGGAATAGAGCATCAAGATAAAAGGAAAAAATTCATAAAAGATTGATATTCCACCAGGTTTTGAAAAGAAAAATAAGGAAAGGAGGCCAATCCTGGACCCCCAGGCCAGCTGTGCTCACCCACTGCCAAGAGGTGGCTGTAGATCTCCAGCATCACATCCTGGTACAGGCGTCTCTGGGCAGGGTCCAGGTGCTGCCACTCCTCCTGGCTGAAGTCCACGGTGACATCATCAAACGACACCAATCTCTGTAACAACATACTCACTGTGAATCAACACTGACAAATAGGACATGTGTTTTCAGTGATCCCCTGCCCCCAGGTTAAGCTTTAAGCTTTCCACAAAACACCTCTTTCCCACTGTATTTTGGGGCATAAAGAAAAGATAAAAAAAAACAAAACTGGCCACCTATTAAACAGTGTCATCCCCTCCCCGGGAGGCCTGAAATGGATTCTTTTCCATTCTCTGTCATAGATTAAACAGCATGACAGTTATTAAGCCACATTGTACCTGTCCATAGCTGTGTTGGGTCCTTGGAATTCACACTATATGAGTTTGTACACTCAGAGAAACTCAGACTTGCAGAATAGCAAATATAAAGATCCAAGTATTGGGCCATAAAGGAACACTTTCAGAAATCTATACAAAGCGAAGTGTTGGGGAGGGGAAATCAGGCACATGCCTGGAAATGGCCGCCATGCTGACCAGAGCACAGCAACTAAAACTGGAGGTAAGAAGTTTGACTGGAATGTGGAGAACGTCACATTCTAGATGAGAACTAGGATGAAGGAGGAATGGGAGGAAAAGCCACGGTTTCAGGCGGTGGCAGAGAGCTCTGGGAAGGAGGAGACAGTAACATCCATAATGTCTCAAAAGTGGTTGTCATCCAAGTTACAGGGAGGTATTCTGGGGTGGGTCTGAGGTGGGTGAAAAGGGTGTGGGTTTTTCAACCCTGAGTCATGGATTGTCACTTAAATAATGAACTGCAGGGAAATGAAGATCTCCAAGTTTAAAGGGCTGGCCTTTCTTAGTGCATCGGGTTTGTGTCACTCTAAGATGTGATGGTGGAAGCCACAAGTGCAGCCAGAAGGGCAGCTGTTACTTCAGCACTCTTCGTCCTTGGCACTGGCTGCTAAACCACACGAGAAGCACTGCCAGGTCTGCGCGAGGGTTTTGGGATGAAGACACCTGAACCCGGTGATGGTTTTAGCATCACAGGAGAGAGATGACCAACATGGTGTGAACCTGGCAGGATACAATAGTGCAGGCATGTTGCCACTGTGAAGTGTTCTTACAAGAATAAAATTGGAGTCTGATTGTTCTCCAGAGTGGAGATCTCCAACTCAAATACAATGGTAGCCACAAGTCATCTCAAAGTTTCTAGTAGCCATATTAGTTACAAACAAATGGAATCAACTTAATACCATACTTAATTTAGCCCAATATATCCAAATTACTATTTTAGGATACTCAGCTTCAGGTTAAAGAGCAGGCTCAGCAGTTAAGAATGCTGACTTCCAGAGATCTGGGTTCAATTCCCAACACCCACATGGTAGCTCACAACTGGCTGTAACTCTAGTTCTAGAGGATCTGATGCCCTCTTCTGGCTGCTGTGGGTACTGCATGCACATGGTACACAGATATACAGGTAGGCAACACATCCATACACACAAAATAATATAATTAAAAAAAAATTAAGGTACTGAGCTTTGAGGAGCCAATGTGCAGCTATGAACTGGAAGAGAAAATCAAAAGACTCAGGGATCTGTACACATGTGGGGTAAAGACAGTGCTATGTAGCTGTTACCTTGGTACAGAAACATTCCCTCCTGGTGGAAGGGAGAGATTTAAGAGACCACATCTTCATGTTACATGGAGCATGTAAGCTGGACACACAGCTGGGGGAAGGATGATGCAGCTGCCTGAGTGCTCCATGCCTCTGAAAGTTGCACTTTACATATACTGCCATAATTAATAAACACACACACACACACACACACACACACACACACACACACACAAATCTGGTTTACCAAGCTAAGCTAGATTTGGATGCACCTACTTCTTTGTCCTGCCAATCCTCTGGGTTGGATAGAAACAGGACTCCCCAGGAAGTCATAGCTGGGCAGATAAACCTAAACCTAAGAAGCGGCACAATGAACACGTCAATGAAAAGATGGGGAAATGGTGAGGTCTCCGCCCTCTGAGTTTCACTCTTAGCTGGAAATCAAGGTTGTCTCAAGGAAATCCAATCTGCTGCTTCCAGCTTTTGCAATCTAGCTGTGAAAAGTAGAACCTGGGGCATCTCTCCTCACCTCACACGATCCATTCTGCTCTTCAGCTTCTAATCTCGGGGGCATCTGGCAGAAATTCATGTCAGTAGGCATGTCCTCTGTGGTTTCTACTCTTGGCCTGTCTTTGGTTTCCCCAGGATTCTGAAGATACTTGAGCATGTGGAGGATCCACGTAGAGTTGCAGCGCAGAGGTCAGCTGGGTTATGCTGGGAAAACTGGCAATGTGGGTGACTCAGCCTCACCTGGAGGTTTGCAAAGACATCGGGAAACCCTGGAAAGCCAACGACCACATTATCACTCACTCAACAAATCTGCCCACAAAGAGCTGAAGGCCCTAACTGAAGGCCATCATGTAGACACTGCAGAGCAAAAAAAGCCCAGAAATGTCCAACTCTTCCTCTCACCTCTTAACTGTGACAACAGGAAGGTATTAAGTAAGGTGATGTAAAGCAAAGATGAGGCTCATCAGCCTGGCAGGTCATAAAGATGACAAAAATCAGCTAGCTATCAGCTTATTTTCCAAACAACCTTTCAGCTGGTGTTTTAAGAAGGCAAGTGAGGCTGTGTTATAGTCTCTAATATGACCCAAGGTCACCAAATAGAAAAGAGGATCAGTATATATATCTGACTTACACAAAATGACATCATGCCACAGTTCATGTTTTTCTTGTTTCTAGAGACTATTCAAACTTACTGATGCATCCCATAGCCTTTTTCTGACATATCCCTGTAGTTTACTACCACAATTCCCTCCTATATCAAAAAAGTATATAGGTATACACACTGTGGGGCAATTCTTTTCTACACTATGAATATGTATTACTCTCATTTGCTAATAAAAAGCTGATTGGCTGATAGCTAGGCACGAAGAGATTGAGTGTGAGTGCCAGACTAGGCGAATTCTGGGAAGAGGAAGGGCAGAATCAGAGAGTCACTGGCAAATGAAGAGAAACAAGATGAGAATGTCATACTGAGAAAAGGTGCCAAGCCACATGGCTAAACACAGGTAAGACTTATGGGTTAATTTAAGTGTAAGAGTTAGCTTACACTTAACAAGCCTCAGTTATCAGCAGGCTTTTTTATATTTATATATCATATATATTTATAATTAATATAAGCCTCTGTGTGGTAATTTGGGAAGTGGCTGCTGGATATTTGGGAACAGGCAGGCAGGAGAGAAATGTCCAATTACACATACATAAGGACCAGGACCTCTATTTTGAAAGCCTACCCTTTCTTCCTTTTAATTTTGCCCCACTTGATTTCATTTGAGCCAATGTGTTCTTGTGTAGCACAGGCTGACAGAGAACTCATTATATACTCCAGGATGGCCTTGAGGTCAGTGACTCTGCTCCATCAGCCTATCACATGTAGGTATTACAGGTATCAACAACCCTCTGGCTGACTATGCATGTTTCCCTTATGCAGTAACTCAGACCAGTACCTGTCGTGGAATATTACTTTAAGATGTGTTACATTTGTTTATGCTGTGGAACATGTTTTAGTGATGTAAAGATGTGTTGTATTCTTTTATGTTGCATTTGTTTAACTCTGTGTTACTTTGCCTGTCTAAAACACTGATTGGTCTAATAAAGAGCTGAACGGCCATTTCCAAGGCAAATAGGTGGGGCTGGCAGGCAGAGAGAATAAACAGATCAAGGAAGGAGCAAGAGAACAAGGAGAGGAGGACACTAGAGGCCAGCCACCCAGCTACCCAGTCAGCCACGGGGAAGAGTGAAAGTAAGATATACAGAAGTAAGAAAAGGTGTGGTGATATTTTATTTGTGCTTTAACAAATAAAGCTTGCCTGGAGATCAGAGTGAGGAGCTAGCCAATAGTTAACCATAGAGGCCAGGCAAAGGTGGCACACACCTTTAATCCCAGCACTTGGGAAGAGGAAGCAGGAACATCAGGAGTTCAAGGCCACCCTGGGCTACACAAGATTGATCCAGTCTAAAAGAGAAACCGAGCCGGGTGGTGGAAGCTCACACCTTTAATCCCAGCACTGGGGAGGTGGAGACAGGAATCTCAGGCGGGAGGGAGGAGACAGGAGCTCGGCCCTTTTCCGGCTGAGAAGCCATGGAGGTAAGAGGTGACTTTGGCTAGCTCCTTCACTTCTCTAATCTTTCAGCATTTACCCCTCCATCTCCGGGTTTTCATCATTAGAACCAATTAGAATTCATGCTACAAAAGGGAAAAGGCCCAGAGGCAAAAGGTAGATGGGATAATTTAAGTTAAGGAAAGCTGGCTAGAAATCAGCCAAGCTAAGGCTGGGCATTCGTAAGTAAGAATAAGACTCTGGGTGTATTTATTTGGGAGCTGGGTGGCGGGCCCTCAAAGGAGTCAAAGAGCCCAAAGAGTTAAAACAACCAAGGACAAACGCCTTCCAGTGACCTCTAAAGACTGGACACAGGACTTCTTCTCAGTCGCTGACATGCCTCAAGACACTGAAATTATGGCTACCTTAATAGCCAATAAACTTTCCCCAGAGTGTTATTTCTTGGTTTCCACATAACACCACATAATTCACAACACAGGGGTCCAAATAACAGACCCCAGCAGGGAAGCAATATTGATGTGGCTTTCTTTTTTTTTTTGAGGTAGGGTCTCAAGTAGGACTGGCTGGCCTTGAACTCATTATATGAAAGAGGTTGGTTCCAATATCCTGATCACCCTGCCTCATCCCCCAGTGCAGGGAATGCCTGTGTGCTCCACCAAGCCCGGCTTGGAAGCAGCATTGAAATAAGCTTCTAGAAGGTACTTCTGTCAGCCAGGCATGGTGGTTGGCTGTACAAAAACACAGCTCTCATTTCAAAGGGTGTAGGATCAGTTTATTCTAGAGCTATGGAGGTGTTACCATGGCCTAAGAGTACAGATTCAGCTTGCCAAATTACCATGTTACATGAAATTTTCATAGTAAGAGAACAAAATGAAGCCATAAATCAAAGCACTTCTAAAGTATATTGGTGTGAGCCAAAAGATACCTCAGAGCACCAGTTCTCAATATGTTGGTCACAACCCCTTTCGGGGATTCGTATCAGATATTTATATTATGCCAGTAGCAAAATTACAGTTATGAAGCAGCAATGAAATAATTTTATGGCTGGGGGTCACCACACCATGAGGAACTATTACAGGGTCGCAGCAGTAGGAAGGTTGAGACCCACTGCCTTAGAGGGTAAAGGTGCTTGCCGACAAGCCTGACAACCTGAGTGTGATACCTGGGACACACAAGGTAGAAGAAGAGAACTAGTTTCTGAAAGTTGTCCTCTGACCTTGACATGTACATGATCCTACAATGTGCCCACACAAAACCCATACACAGACAGACACACAGACAGACACACACACACACACACACACACACACACACACACACACACACACACACAGAGACATACAAATATATAGAGACCCTGTCTCAAAAAGTAAGGTAGAGAGTGCTTGAGGAAAAGATTGGATATTATCCTCTGGCTTCCCTGCTCCTCTGTACACATACATGTACCCACAGCCAAATAAACATGGACATAACATACACACCAAAACAAACAGCAAATAACAACAACAGCAAAATGAACATTGGTGGGGCCACCAGGTAGGCAGGTTACAACAAGGTGGGAAAATCTCTATTACAGGTCTCACATGCCCTCCAATGACATTCTTAGCTTTTCAGTTGTTGAAAACTAGGGGGATGTTTAGATAAAGTACATAGGAGGATACTGACTAACTGTTGAAGGGGTCAAAAGACAGCTAAAGACAGCTAGACTCCATACCCATAACACACAAACTCCCCACAGCCACTCTAGTACTTTTCAGTTCATTGGCCTTGAAGAATCTTTAACACAGGTGTGGCTTTTCAACAAACTTCAGTTGTAGACCTACAATCCCAGCACTCCAGAGGCAGGGGCATCACAACCACATCTGAGGCCAGACTGGTCTACAAACTGAGTTGCAGGCTAGCCAGGGGTACATAGAAATATCCTGTTTGGGAGGAAGGAAGGAGGAAGGAAGGAAGGGAGGGAGGGAGGGAGGGAGGGAGGGAGGGAGGGAAGAAGGAAGGAAGGAAGGAAGGAAGGAAGGAAGGAAGGAAGGAAGGAAGGAAGGAAGGAAAAGAAACAGGCTAGAGAGATGGATCAATGGTTAAGAGCAATTGTTGCTCTTGCAGATGTCTCAGGTTCAGCACCTGCATGTGGCTCACAACCTCCTCTAACTCTAATTCCAGCGAAACTCTGGCTTCTCTAGGCATACTATATACAAGCATTCAAACAAAAAATATACATAAAATACATCTTAAAAATGAAACACACACACACACACACACACACACACACACACACACACACACGAGCTGCTTTTACTTAAAAAGCATTATGCATGTCTCCTTCACTTTGGCTCTGACTTCTACTCTGCTCCAATTCCTAACCTATTTCATTTCCGCCTGGCTTCTAACTTGTAGTGACCCCCGAGTCTGCCTCTAGAGTGCTAAGATTACAGGACAGTAATGTGCCACCACAACCCTCTTGGCTACTGTAATACATAACTCTTGAATTCTAAATGTAGACCTCAAATCAGTACATCAGAGACAGACATGGGGTCAGTAGGTCATTTGAACTTTTCTCCTGCTTAACGCAACCAATTTATGGAATCTCATCCTCTGCTTGTTGTTTTTCCCTTAAACATTTTTTTTTTAAAGAGGTGGGGTGTCAGGATTTCTATTGCTGTGAAGAGACACCATGACCATGGCAACTCCTATAAAGGAAAACATTTAATTGCAGGTGGCAGCTTACAATTTCAGAGGTTTAGTCCATTATCATCACGGCAGGGAGCATGGCAGCTTGCAGGCAGACATGGTTCTGGCTACATCTTGATCAGAAGGCAACTGGAAGTGGTCTCAGTGTCACACTGAGAGATGCTTGAGCGAAGTAAGAGCTCAAAGGCCACTCCCACAGTGACACACTTCCTCCAACAACAAAGCCACACCTAATAGTGCCACTCCCTTTGGGGCCATTTTCTTTTAAATCACCACATGGGGCTTAGTTGGAAAAAGTAGTTCACTGGGGATGAGAGAAAAAATTTCTTAAAAGATTTATTCTTACCCTTTAAAAAATTTTAAATCTTGTGTGCGTCTTGCTTGTTTGTGTGTCTGTGCATCAAAAGCGAGCAGTGCCGTAGGGGGCGGAAGAGAGCATCAGAGCCCCTGGAACTGTTCCTGGGCGTTCAAAGCCACCATGTGAGTGTGGGTGCTGGGAATGCAACACTACTGAGCCATCTCTCCAGCTCCCCCTCTGCGCTTTCCATCTCTTCAATAGGCATACTAGATGAGGCTGGCCCTTGCCTGTTCGGATGCAGAAACCCAGGCTTCTGTCCGAAAACCTCTTTACAGCACCACTCTGCTTAACTGCCAGTCACCCATCCTTACCATATCCACAGGTCCCAACACAGGGCAAACCTCCAATCAGGCCTCACATCTATCTGCAAAGGACCCCAATAGTTATGTAAACTGGCAATAGGAATTGAATTAGGATTAGTTAAAAAAAAATCATTTTTCTGTTCCCACTCCTCCTCCATACAGGAAATATAATACGGGGGAACGGAAATGACCAGAACAGTTGGTCTCTGGGGTCAACACCAAGGCTTATGCTCAGGTGACTGAGCCCACATTAAATATACCTCTCCGTATCTCCTGGCTTTCATGCAGTTCCTTCTATTGCTAATACTGCTTGGGCTGACATAGATGGAGGACACTGTTGGGGCCAGTTTGGGCCCAAACGTAAATACATTCATTTTCCCGTTTTCACTTATTCTTTGCAGTTTTTCTGCACTCGCAGGCCAGGGTTTGACCAGCAGCCAAGGCTCCAGTTACCAGCTACTCAAACACTACCGGTCCAGAAAGCAGCGCGGTCGCCCTCACAAGCACCCTACAGCGGCCCCCAGGCTCCATCTCCGCCTGAGCAGTCAGTCCTCTCGGCATCAAGGTCCTCGTCCTGAAGCTCCAGGACCGGCTCCTGCAGCGCCCACTCCCTGAGTCCTGCCCCGATCGTCCTCACAGGACAACTTGCCCGGACCACGGCGTGAAATCCCAAAGGAGAGCACACTGGGAAGTGACAAAACACACAGGACGCGGAAGACCCGCGAGAACGCAATGAAAACGAACCGAACGACCCCCACCTTATTTATCCAGGGCATCCCCCTGCAGCCGCCTCAGCGGTCAGTCTGCACAAACCAGCGCTCAGCAGCACAGCGTCCTCCCTGCCCCGCAGCCACTCACCTCCCAGAGCTCTGCGCGCGGCACGCCAGGGCCGCGACTTCCGCCCGCAGACACCCACAATACGAGGAGTTCCTACTCCAAACACCCACGCTGTCCTGGCAACGATAGCCAAAGCGAACTACCCAAAGATCTGAGCCGATGTGACCACTGTAGGCCACTTCCGATTTGAATAATGGTTCCCTCAGCCCATCACCACATCCCCCTCGTGGATGACGCGCATGCGCACCACCACTGGCGGAGGTAAACCTTGCCAATACTTATTATGGCTCATCTGGTATTTTCTGTTCTTTCAGAAAGTGTCATGGCCGCACCCATACTCCAATGACACGGAAGCCACCATCAAAGTGTATCAGTTCCATACAGCCACGCAAGGCCTATGGAATGTGTTACAGTGAAAACCCAAGACTGTCTTATATTGTTAGGGCATTTAGTTACTTGCAAGTGTATCTATTTCTAAGAGATATTGACACTACATGTTACCAAAAGTATCCTTTCTCTGTATTTATTTTGTTAAATCTATTTTATGTATTTTTGCCTGCATGTTGAGCTCACAGCACCCAGGACATCTGCAAGAGCAGCAAGTCCCCTTTTGCACTGAGCCATCTCTCCTTTTCACCTTTTGCCTTTATTTTCACCAGAACTTAAAAGGATTCTCATTTTTGAGATGGTCTCTCTATGTTGGAACACTCCATACCTCTGTGTCCTGAGAGCTAGGATTAAAGGTGTGTACCACCACAATGATACTTTCTGATTTTTCAAAGGTTGAAAACTATGTGGGGTTATTAGGAAACAGAAAATGAAGCCATATGGAACACTAAAGGTGAGAATCTGAGATGAACCATCATGTACTTCATACTGGGGAGGACTTCTTGGGGTGTCTCATGGTTCCCAGAGGATAGAAACCTGTTCTTACCTGGAAGTAAATTTTTTTAAGTTGCATAATAGAAACAATGTAGACCTAGGTGGACAGTGGAAATAATGGTAAATGGAGAGAGACCAGTCAAATGGTGAAATCACCTAGCACTGTAAAGAATAAATCAGTAGACCTAATGTAGAGTGTGAGAATAAAGTCAAAGATTGTGTGAGTTATCTCCAGGGCAAACACATTCTAGCCCTATATGGTCTAGATCAGTGGTTCTCAACCCATGGGTCATGACCCCTTCAGCAAACCTCTATCTCCAAAAAAATATTTACAATTTATAACAGTAGCAAATTAGTTATGAAGTAGTAACAAAAATAATTTTATTGTTGGGGGTTAGCACAACATGAGGAACCATATTACATGAGGAACTGTATTAAAGGGTCACAGCATTAGAACAGTTGAGAACCACTGGGCTAGAACTATGTAGATTAGGCTGGCCTTGAACTTACTCTGATCTTCTTGTCTATGCCATTCAAGTGCTAGGATTGCAACAACGTGCCATCATGCCCGGTTCACAGATGATCTAGATCTTCCCATTGAAAACAGACTACAGGAGTGATGATTTGGAGAACACAGTTTTATCATCAAAGATACAGCTCGAGTCTCCAAAGAGAAGGCTCAGCCATCCATCACCACGGGGCAAAATTATAGTAAACTACATGAAAGTTAGTGTTATGCAAATGTCAGTCTCTGCTCTTCATTTATCTGCTGCTTCTAAACATGTCATTATTGTTAACTATACCCATTTATTGCATCACAGGCACAATCTTGTTCTTCCAGAATTTCTTTCAAAATTGACTTTTTCAGTCAATAAACCTTGTACAATGCCCATGTGTCTTGCAGCCCAAACCACAGCTAGTTCACCAAGATGAAGCACTTGCCTCATGGAGGTGATGAGCCATTAGAGACACTCAGAAGCTGAAGCTGTACATACATAAAATCAGAAATATCTGTATATGAGAAAGAATAAGTTATTGTCTTCCTGGATGACCTTACCTCAAATTTTCCAATTTAATTTATTTTACTATAAATTTCATTTTTATGACTCATGAAATTCCATTGTATTTATACTACAGGCTCATTATACATACACCCATCTGTACTGATGGACATCTAGACTGATTTCATTTCTTTGTAATTGTGAAGAGTAGTGGTGAAAACGGGTGTGTTAGTATCTCTGTGGTACGATACAGATTCCCAGGGTGTGTATCTGGAAGTGGTTAGCTGGGTCGGGTGTGTTAGTATCTCTGTGGTACGATACAGATTCCCAGGGTGTATATCTGGAAGTGGTTAGCTGGGTCATGGGGCAGTTCCAGTTTTAGTAATTTCAGAAACCACCACTAAGGCTGCATAGTGAGATCCTGTCTCAAAATCAAATCAAATCAAATCAAACAAACCAACCAAACACGACAACAGAACCCCAGACTGATTTCATTAGGGTTGCAATCTGCATTTCCTCCAACAGTCAGTAAAGGCTCCCTTTTCTTCACATCCTCAGCAGGTTTGTTGTCCATTGATAACGGCCATTCTGACCAGGGTAAGATGTTAGCTAAGGAGGATAAACACTTTAAAAGAACTTCTTCAGGGAATTCTCTTAGTCCATGTTCTCTTGGTTTTTAATAGTCTAGGTCTCCCCCCCCCCCTTTTTTTTACACTAAGCCATGATTTACAGGGAATGGGCTACAGCAGCTCAGACTCTTTTCTGTCAGTTCTCACAAAGTTTTGGGTGAAACAGGCTGCCGCTTCAGTTGAACCCAGTTACCCTTCTCTTTGGCTCCTCCTTTTCTGATTCACGCTTTTCAGAAAGTTATCTCGACCTTGTTGTTGTTCTTTGAGACAAGGTCCTTCTCTATTGCCCTGGTAGTCCTGGAACTCATTATGTAGCCCAAGCTGACCTCAGACTCAAGAGTTCTGCCTGCCTGTGTCCTGAGTGCTATGATTAAAAGTGTGTGTCACTACACCTGGCTCTGGATTATGGTATTTCAACTTCATAGCACACCATGCTGCCAATGAAGGTATGTATTTTAGAGTAGAAAAACAATATATACACAGATGTGGTTTGCTTTTTATAAAACAAAGAAAAGAAATTCTATACAGGGATATGATTATGTGGATAGTGATGCATGTGTCACATATTGGCAAATATGTTCTGTGAAGAGCCAGATAATAAATATTTGTAGCTTGGAGATCAAATGGTTTCTCCCACAACTACTCAGCTGTACTAGTGGAGCAACAAAGCATCCCCAGAATATATACAAATGATCATAGCTACACTGCATAAAACTTTATTTAAAAAATTCAAGCAGGCATGATGGTGCGTGCCTTTAGTCCCAGCACTTGGGAGACAGTGGCAGGTGGGTCTCTGAGTTCAAGACCAGCTCATGCTCCAGGTCAGCCAAGGCTACACAGTGAGACTCTCAAAAAAAAAAAAAAAAATCCATTGGTGGGCATGAGCTAGCTCAGTGGTTAATGGCACATGTTGCCATGCCTGATGACCTACCTGAGCTCAATTCCTGGGACTTGCATGTTGTTAGCTAAGAACCAACTCACGAACTGTTCTCTGAGTTTTTCACACCTGTGCCTTGGCACTCATGCATGTGTATACACACACACACACACACACACACACACACACACACACACACACTACACTATTTACTGTCTTCTTGTGTGCACTAGAAGCCTGCATAAGACTATGAAGAAGTCTTCAATGATTCTATAATTATATTATTCTATAATAATTCTATAATGGCTCTGTCTATGTAGTTCATTTACAGACGGGACACATGCAAAAAAAATAAGCTGAGCTAATCATGGAAGAGAAAAGTTACAATACCAGGAGCAGTGAATGCTATAGACTTTCACTTATGGATTTATCTCAAAAGTTATTTTCATATGATGAAAAGACTAATAATTATTGATAGTGCAGCCTCAAGATGGTGTGAATAAGGGATAGATTGTCAACACACATCAGATTTTTAAAAAAAGAAACTCATGTTAGGCAATGACTTCCATGTCAAACCCCACTAGTATGAGGCAATACATATGTAAACATTGATGTCACATAAACAAATAAATATGCAATCATACATACACATTAGACAGTTTTGACAGATCACACAATCTTGTCATTTTCTTTCTTGCATTATAAATATTATTATCCCATAATAAACAGGAATATTGTTGATATAAAATCCCCAAAACTTTTCTATAGTCTGGTACCAATGTGTCTTTTGGCATTTTCTATAGAGAAACTTTCCTCAGACCATTGCTTTAGGGGTTCCTCCTAGGATGAAATCCATAATCACACAACAAATTCTCTTGTGAATAATGTGTTTAAACAAGCAGTGCATATGTAGATCTTTTAACATACAGAAGCTATAGTGTGCAATAAGTTCTTTCAAAACATTTTCTTCAAAGGATTTAAGGACTATACCTCAGTTGGAAATCTGTTTATAGACTATGCACTGATTTCTTGGAAAAGCTTTTCACACAAAAACAGCCTATAAGAACTGTGTCTGGTATGAGTTGCTTGGTATTTACTGTAATGTGACATGCTGTTGAAGGCCTTTCTACACTCAGAACACAATAGGCTCTTTCCCCATATGAATCTAGTGCTGCACATCCAGTTGGGATGCACTGCTGGATGACTTCCCATCCTCTTTGCATTTTTTATTTTTTATTTATTTTTTTTTTTTTTTTTGGTTTTTCAAGACAGGGTTTCTCTGTGTAGTTTTGGTGCCTGTCCTGGATCTCACTCTGTAGACCAGGCTGATCTCGAACTCACAGAGATCTGCCTGGCTCTGCCTCCTGAGTGCTGGGATCAAAGACGTGTGCCGCTGCCGCCCGACCCTTCTCTGCATTTCTATGTGTATATGATGATGGCCTTCAGTGGGACGTGTTATGGAATGATTTCCCACGGCTTTCCTATGGCTTCTTGCAAGTGTGAGTCCGCTGATGGCATTTCAACACGGACTTCTGGAGGAATGCCTTCCCACATTTTTGACAGACAAAAGATCTCCCTCTAGTGTGAGTCATCTGATGTCTAGGCAAAGACGACTTATTGTAGAAGCCCTTCCCACATTCAGGGCACACATAGGGTTTCTCGCCTGTATGAATTTGCTGATGTGATGTCAATGCTGACTTCTGGATGAAGGTTTTCCCACATTTTTGACAGATAAAAGGTCTCTCCTTGGTGTGAGTTATCTGATGTCTATGCAAAGATGACCTGCCAAAGAAGCCCTTCCCACATTCCGTGCAGACATAGGGCTTCTCACCCGTGTGAATTCTCTGGTGATCTCGGAGTTGGCCCTTTGAAGTCAAGGCTTTCCCACAGTCACTGCATTTGTAAGGCTTCTCCCCAGTGTGAATTCTCTGATGTGTTCGAAGTACTGACTTCTGACTAAAGGCTTTCCCACACTCACTACACACATGGTGTTTTTCTCCAGTATGAATTTTTGTGTGGAGATTAAGGGACGATCTTCGGCTGAAGGCCTTCCCGCATTCAGAACATGCATAAGGTGTCTCCCCAGTATGAATTCGGAGATGCTCTTTCAGTTGGGAGGAATTACTGAACGACTTCCCACAGTAGTTGCATTTGTAAGGTCTCTCTCCTGTGTGAATTCGATGATGTACTGTCAGTTGGGATGTATGACTGAATGATTTCCCACAGTAACGACATTTATAAGGCTTCTCTCCCGTGTGAGTTTGTTGATGAGATGTCAGTTGTGACCTCTGAAAGAAGGCCTTTCCACATTTGTGACAGACAAAAGGTTTATCCCTAGTGTGAGTTAGCTGATGTCTCAGGAAACCTGACCTACCATGAAAACCTTTTCCACATTCGGTGCACACATAAGGTTTCTCTCCTGTGTGAATTCGCTCATGCTCTTCAAGTTGGTACTTAGAAGCCAAGGCTTTCCCACAGACACTACATTTGTGAGGCTTCTCCACTTTGTGAATTCGACGGTGCACATTCAGTGTGAATGAATAAGTAAATGATTTCCCACAGTCCCGGCACTTGTAAGGCTTCTCCCCTGTGTGAACTCGATAATGCATCTTCAACTGGGATGCATAAGTAAATGACTTCCCACAGTCACCGCATTTGTGAGAATTCTTCCCCAGATGAATCCTCTGGTGCATGCTGAGCTCTGACTTCTGGTTGAAAGCTTTCCCACACTCACTGCATACATGGTGTATTTGTCTAATATGTATCTTCTGGTGAACGGTGAGACTTGACTTTCGCTTGAAGGCTTTCCCACAGTCACCACATTCATAAGGTTTCTCCTTCATATGAATCTGATAATGCACTTTCAGTCGGGATGTACAACTAAATAATTTCCCACAAACAGTACATTTGTAAGGCTTCTCCCCGGTGTGAATTGTCTCATGAGTACTGAGGATTGACTTCTGCTTGAAGGCTTTCCCACATACAGGACACACATATGGTCTCTCCCCTGTATGTATTCGATAATGTACTTTCAGTTGGGATGTATTATTGAAGGATTTCCCACAGTCACCGCATTCATAAGGTTTCTCTCCAGTGTGAATTCGATGATGGACCTGCAGGTTGGATGTACGACTAAATGATTTCCCACAGTCGGGACACTCATAAGGTTTCTCTATGTGAGTTTCTTGATGAAAGGTCAACTCTGACTTCTGGAGGAATGTTTTCCCACACTTGTGACAGACAAAAGGTCTTTCTCCAGTGTGAGTTGCCTGATGTTTACTGAAAGCAGACATGTCATAGAAGACCTTTCCACACTCAGTGCATGCATCTGGTTTCTCCTTAGAATGAACTACTTGCTGTGTAAGTGTTTGTTTATGGATGAGAACTTTTCTGCACTGGCTACCTTTGCATGAATTCTGTCCTTCATGAGGAATTGTACAGTCAGCATTAGAAGAGTCTTGTGTGAAGAGCTGGCCAGACGTAACGACATCATTGAGCTGTTTTGTGATGTTGTTTTGATCTTCACCCTTTGCTTCAAGGTTATGCTTCAAACCTTTTGCACATAACTTTGGAGCTCCCTTTTGTGTAGAAATAAGGTTGGACACTAAAGGGATGGTTTTCCCGGACTCTTTATATTCACAGTCTCTGTCTGTTCTCTGCGTTTTCTTGTTGAGGAAAGCACCAGGATTCCAGGGTGGGATATGGTTTTGCTGATCTCTTTTTGTGGGGTCAGGATCTTGCCACAGTTCTTCTAAAACAGAGCACCACAAACCATGTCTTATGATTTCACTTGCCTTACTAATTTGAAATGCTGCATTCTCAGAAACTTTCTGTGGAGGGGTGTAAAACTCTGATTCCACTTCTGGGAGAAGAAAAGAGATGAAAGAACATGCATAATGAACTGTATGGGTGAGGAATCACATAGAGTTAATAAACAGTGAGCACAAAATATCTGTGAGGTACTTATGACAATGAGTAGAACATTCCTACCTCCCATATGACATGCCAAACATTAGGTATACAGGCAACTTTATGATGGAAACAAACTCATTTTATTTCCCAAACCATCTCATAAAGCAGTTACAACTACTCTTCCTGTTTTAGAAATGAAGAAATACTAATATGAATACTTAGGTCAGTGGCAAAGATGGCTTCAATAATTTGTGCAGAAGACTGTTGGAACAAACCAACACATTCGATTTATAGAGGAGACCTTGTAGGGTAAGATGTAGGGGAAGAAACTGACAAGGCTATTATAAGGTAGCTTCAGTGGACAGCAAAATGTTGAAAGACAGAAGAGAACACCAGACAGAGGACTTCATCAGTTCTAGAGAAAAACATACTCATGCCTTTGGCCCATATTCTCATCGAGTTTAGTGCTCATATAATGATGTCCCCAGCTCTCTGTTGCTAGGAATGGAAGTTGTACTCCATCTAGGAAAATAACTCTATCCTTGAGCTACAACCTAAAACAAGCAAATTTTTCTTTTTTAACAACAATTTACATTATATAGTGGCCTTTCCTTACTTTTCCAATCTCATACTATAATGTAAAAGTAGTTAAATGCATTTGTTCTTTTTCAAAGGACTGGAGTTTAGTTTCCAGTACTTACATCAGGCAGCTCACAAACTGCTCTTACTCCAGCTCCAGGGGATCCAACATCCTCTTCTGGACTTTGTGGAAACCCCACACATGTGGCATATACTTACACAGATACACACACATGTACACAAAAATAAATCTAAATAAGAAAATACTATGACACAGATCAAACACATCTAAAGGACATCTACAGAATATTCCATTCAACAGAAATGGAATAGTCTTTTCAGCAGCCCATGGAAGTTTCTAAAAAACAGACCATATGCTAGGTTACAAAGCAAACCTGAACAATATGAAGAAGCTGAAACAACTCTGGGTATCTTAAAAGACCATAATGGAATAAAACTCGAAACCAACAGTAAGAGAAGCTGCACAGATACATGGACATAGAACAGTACTTTTTTTTTTTTTTTGGTTTTTTGAGACAGGGTTTCTCTGTGTAGCTTTGGAGCCTGTCCTGGAACTCACTCTGTAGCCCAGGCTGGCCTTGAACTCACAGAGATCTGCCTGCCTCTGCCTCCCGAGTGCTGGGATTAAAGGCATACGCCACCACTGCCAGTGAACAGTACATTTTGAATTAACAGTGAGTCACAAAGAAATCAAAATATTAAAACATTCTGCTAATGAAATGAAGATGAATGCCAACTTATCATGATCTTTGGATACAGCCAAAGACAGTTCTAAGAGAAAGTTGATATTTGAGATATTCACATTAAAGAAATTAGAGAGAGTTCAAACTATGATGAAACTAAAGGTCTTAGGAAATGAAGAAAAAGGCAAAATCCAAAGTAGCAAATGGAAAGAAAAAATAAAGATCAAGGCAGTAATTGATAAAATGGAAACTAACAGAACAATACACATAAACAAAACGATAAATGATGTTGGGGTTCAAAAAAATGGCTCAGCTGTTAAGAGCACTGACTGCTCTTCCAGAGAACCCAGGTTCAGTTCCAAGCACCCACACTGCAGCTCACAACTCTCTGTAACACTAGCCCTAGGGGATCAGATGCCATCTTCTGGCCTCCATGGGCACTGCACACAGATGGTGCATATACGTAAAGAAATAAAACAGATTACTAGAGAGTAAGTACTCGGAAATATTACATTAAAAACAAAACTGGAAAATTCAGAATAAATGGTTAAAATTTTAGTCACATATGACCTACAAAAATTAAAATCATGCTGGGCGTAGTGGCACAAGCCTTTAATCTAGCACTCGGGAGGCAGGGGCAGGTGGATCTCTGTGAGTTCGAGGCCAGCCTGGTCTACAGAGTGAGTTCCAAGACAGCCAGATCTATATAGTGAGACCCTGTGTTGGAAAAAACAAAACAAAACAAAAACTCAAGAAAATTAAATCAAGAAGACATAAACAAAATATTCAGAAAAAGCAGTAATAAAGCATCTCCCTGCCAAGAAAAGCCCAAGACCAGATTCACTGGGGAATCCTCCCAAACCTTCAAAGAAGTGCTAGCATCAATACTTCTTAAACTCTTCAATAAAACAGAAAGGCAACACCAAAAGATAGGAAGCCAGTATTACCCTAATACCAAAACTGGATAAGGACACAACAGAAAATAAAAGGTATGTGTGTGTGGTGGTGGAGGGGGGAGGGGAACACAAAACATCTTAAGAAAAAATTTCAAAACATATTCAAGAACATATTAAGAAGTGTCTTTAACAAATCGTACAGGACAACTGTACATTCTCCTGTAAAAAATGAAACTAGAGCCCATCTTCCCTTTTTCCTCTCTCTCTCTCTTTCTCCTCTCTCCCTCCTTCCTTCCTTTCTTTTCTTCTTCTTCATCCTCCTCCCTTTTTTTTGACACAGGGTTTCTCTGTGTAGTTTTTGGTGCCTGTCCTGGAACTCCCTTGGTAGACTAGGCTGGCCTCGAACTCACAGGGATCCACCTGCCTCCTCCTCCTGAGTGCTGGGATAAAAGGCGTGCACCACCACTGCCTGGCATTCTTTCGCTTTCTTTTCTTTTTTCTTTTTTTTCTTTTTCTTTTGGAAGGTATCCTGGTCGTCAGGAGCCAAGGAATACCACAGAGTCACAACACACAACAAACCTCACACAAGAGATTTACTGGGAGAGAAACTAAAGGGTGGCTGCCTCTGCTTGGGAGAGAAAAGATTTATTTATTTTATTTTATGTGTATGGGTGTTTGCTGTAGCACCTGAAGGGGCCAGAAGGGAAGTCAGATCCTCTAGAACTGGAATTATAAATAGTTGTGAGCTGCCATGTGGGCACTGGGAACCGAACACAGGTCCTTTGGAAGAGCAGCCAGTGCTCTTGACCCCTGACGAAACAACGTTAAACAGACTGAAGATCTTAATGCAATGTATGAAATTCTGAAACTGCTAAAGGAAGACAGATGCAAAACTCCTAAAAACACAGGTGTGCTAGGACTTTTAGGAAAAGTCAGCAATAGCACAGGAAGAAATCCTGTGAATTGATAAGTGCGGTTATAGAAAATTAAAAACCTGCACCATGAAAGAAACAATCATCAGAAGGAGGAGATAGCCTATGTAATGGGAAGGAATCTTTCTAACTATAGATTAATATATAGACTATATGAAGAACTATAAAAGAATCAAACACCAAAACAACCCAAGAAACAGCTAATATATTTAATGACTACTTCTCAAAAGGCAACAGGTATTTGAAAAAGTATTCAATATTGTTAGTGACCAGGGAAATGCAAATTAAAGCTTCTTTCATATTCTAGCTGACCCCAGTCAGAATGGCTACTGTCAAAGGAACGAACAACAAATGCACACAAAGAAAGTTACACCCCTGCCCACTGCTGCAGGGACTGCAAAGAAGTCACTAAAGAAGCCAGTGGAAGTTCCTCAAAGAACTGAAAATAGAGTGATCATATGACCCAGCCAGACCAACCTGCCTGTACGCCTGAAGAACTCTGTATGAACATCAGCAGACACACTTGCACAGCCATATTTACTGATGCACTAAGAAATGGAACCAGATGTCTCTCTACAGATGAATGTGTGAAGAAAATGTAGAACATATACACAATGGGATTTTAGTTAGCTATAAAGAAAAAATATAAAATTATGAAAACTGTAGCAAAACGATCTCAATGGAACTTGAGATCATTACTCAAAAACAAATACCACATTTTTTCTTACATGTAGACTCCAGATTTTAATTTCTGTGTATATGTATATATGTATGTATATATTTAATTTTTGTATATATGTATATATATATATGTCTGTCTGCATGTGTTGTGTGTAAATAGTGAAAGTAGAAAACGCACTATGGGGGCTGGAGAGATGGCTCAGAGGTTAAGAGCACTAGCTGTTCTTCCAAGGGTCCTAAGTTCAATTCCCAGCAACCACATGGTGGCTTACAACCATCTGTAATGAGATCTGGTGCCCTTTTCTGGCACTCAGGCATATATGCGGGCAGAACACTATATACATAATAAATAAATAAATCCTTAAAAAAAGAAACGGACTGTGAAAGGAGAAGGGATCTTAAGGGAGGAAGGAAAAACCAGGAGAGGGGCACACATGGGACATATAGGCAGAAGGGAGACAATTTGTGGCAAGGAAGGGGCCCAGCGAGAGACGACTGGGGAGGTCAGTAGGGAAAGAACTAGGAGAGGAAGAAACATAATGACAGATATTACAAGAACATGACAATGAAGCTAACGTAAAAAATATCCAATGTAATGTACATGCTAAAAGCTTTGTACCTCACTAATGGATCTTATCAATGTTGACACATCTGTCTGTCATTACTTCTACTACACTGGGGATTGAGCCCAGGGCTCTGTGCATGCGAGGCTGGCACTCTACTACTGAGATATATATCCCCAGCCCTAACCATGGTTAACATGAAAAAAAAAGGCCAATTTTCTTCCTAACCAATACATTTATCCACCAATGCATTCATCCACCAATGCATTCATCCACCAGTGCATTTATCTACCAATGCATTTATCCACCAGTGCATTTATCCACAAGCGCATTTATCCACCAGTGCATTTATCCACCAGTGCATTTATCTATATTATCAGCCACCACTAAGTTTCCCTCATCTGCTTTTTTTGTTTGTTATAGACAAACAAGGTGTACAAATATGAATCTCTGAGTAGACCTTCTGGAGAATATGGTTGAGTTAGTCAACTTAGGTAATCTCCATGATGAGGCAGCCCATACCTACTGTTCACCTCTGAGAGTCTTATCTTAGTCTTATTTCTCACTCCTAGTCCATATCCACAAAGCATTGTGGCATTAGTTGTAGAGAGTTGGGGTAGGAAGCAAGCTTGGTACCCACTACTGTGGTCCATATTCACAATGTTCTGCACCCTAAGTTGTAGAGAGTGTCAGTAGGAAGCAAACTGGATGCCCAACACTAGGGGATTGGTAAGTGAGGAAGACTGATAATGGCCCTCTAGTGACATCCCCCTCCATCTAGGTCATATTCACTTACCTTGACACCCACACTGCTGATGTGGGAACTTAACCTCTCCCATCCATTCCTCCTTTCTTTGCTTTATCCTGAGGATGGCCCCAGGGCTGGGAATGGGGTACCCTGTACATTGGAAGAATATTTGCTTAGTGTGTAGCTTTTAGGCTTTAGCGGTCACCCAATGAGCTTTGCCACTGGCTGACTGGAAAAATCAACACTCTGTAGTGGGCACAGAATTATTAACTTGGAGTGTCAAAAAGTAACAAATTATCTAGACAGACCCTGGGGGAAAACCATGGCACACTTTTGATATCCCATCATGTTCTACAAAAAAAAGGGGGTAATAACGCTCATCCTGGACCCCCGGCCAGCTATGCTCACCCACTGCCAAGAGGTGGCTGTAGATCTCCAGCATCACGTCCTGGTACAGGCGTCTCTGGGCAGGGTCCAGGCGCCGCCACTCCTCCTGGCTGAAGTCCACAGTCACATCCTCAAAGGACACCACCCCTAATCTCTGTAACAACAAAGTGCAGTCATTGTGAGTCAGTCATCACTGAAGTGTGGTTCAGTGATTCTTTACTGTGATTTATCATTAGGCTTTCCAGAAAATATCTATTTCATATTATATAAATAATATATATTATATAAATATTTCAGAAGTCAAGAAAGTTCATACTCAGATTTTTGTACACTCAGATTTTCTTCCCCAAAGCAGCCAGAAATGGGTTGTTATGAATGCTTCAAAAAGGAATAAGCAGCCTGACACTTAGAGCCAACATTAGTCTAGGCTTCAGGGAAGTGGTGAATTATCATGAAAGGTTGAGAACCAGAGGAAGGAGGAGCATTCAGAGACCGAAGACTTTAAACAAAATCAACTGCACTGCTTCATTTTAGCTTTTGGAATTCTCATTAATTCAGAAAATCACATGTCAGGATATCTCCAGTATCATTAGATGTAAATAGTCCATCCATGAACCAGAAGACAACTCACTGAAAGACATATTACAATTAAAAAAAAGTTTGCAATCCCTTTTTAAAACAACAATCAAAGCTGGGTGTGGTGCACTCCTTTAATCCCAGCACTCTGAAGAGAGAGGCAGGTGGATCTCTACAAGTTTGAGGCTAGTCTGGTCTACACAGTGAGTTCTAGCCAGAGCAGGCTATATAGGAAGGTGTTTTCATGCTCCTCCAGGTGTAGTGGATAGGAGTGAGTTTACTTCAGATTAATCATTACAGCTGGCTATTGTTATTTGTTTATGGGTCTCTATGGAAAAACATGTTTTTGCTGTGTGCCGTTTGCTTGCCATGGGAGGCTTGCCCTTGTGACTGGACACTTTACTCACATGACTCCTCTTAACCTTCAGAGTATAAATAGTCTGATGCTCTGAATAAAGCTGGATATTGCATGAGACTTTAGTCTGTCTCATTTATCAGCTGCATTCTCCCAGGTCTGACCACCTCTAGAGTAGTAAACAGTTTCATTTTGATTTTTGGCAAGGCAGTATCAGACACTCATGGTCTCCAAGACTTACCTGCCATGAATTCATATCAAACGAACTCCTTCAAAGATACTCACCAAATGACAGTGACTATGAAATGGGACAAGAAGACACAGGATTGAGGGCTACATCTAAACACCAAAAGGCAGGACATGGAGCGACATGAAAGACTAGGAGGTGCACTGGTCCCTGTGGTCTGCTCTCAGCTGGAGGAGCAAGTCTGCCTCTGGATTGGGGGGCCCAGGATCTGCTACTTCCCATGTCTGCCCTCCAGTTTTACAGAATCTGGACCCCAGGCAACTGCTGCTTACCTCGCATGACCCATCCTGCTCCTGCAGGCTCAGTCTCTGGGGTTCCTGGGATAAATTCATGGCAGCAGGTATGTTTCCTCTCTTGGCCTCTTTTGCTGGCAGATCCGATTTTCTCAGGAACTGGAAGCTGGGTGAGTGCCTAGAGGTTCCCAGGAGGGCAGCTGAGCAGAGGCCAGCTGTGATGAGGCAGAAAATCCCACAGTCTGGATGATGTGGCCTGACTTAGGTGTAAAGAGACAGCAGAAAGTTCAGAGAGGGAATGACTTTATGTCCTCAGACAACATTTGCCACACATGAGTTTCTGAGGGCCCAAGACAGTCACAATGTAGGCACGATGCAACAGACAAAGCTCAGAAAAGCCTTCCTCTAGTATTGACCAGGGTGATGAAAAAGAAAACCCAACACCATAGTCTGGGGTCTGGGAGATGGTGCAGTGGGTAAGAGAGCTTGCTGCTGGTGCATGAGGACCTGAGTTCAAATCCCCAGCAACCTGAAAAAGGCAGACTTGGTCACAAATGCCTGTAACTCCAGCACTGTGTGGGACTAAAAGAGGAGTATCTCTGGGCTCTCTGTCTATCAGCCTAGCTCCAGGTTCAGTGAGAGACCCAACCTCAAGGGAGTAAGGCTGGGAGTGATGGAGCAGGACACTGAACAGCTTACTCTAGCCTCATTGCATGTGCACTGACGGACACATGCATGTACCTATACCCACATCAACATCCCATTCTCTTCCCTTAAATCCAGTGGCCCAATCCCTTCCCAGAATTGGAAACACTCCACATAAACACCAGGCCACAGAAATGCTTGTGGAGGCACACACAAAGCGTTTCTCCCCTATCCACAATGTCTTCATGGTAAATAGGATGTACTCACTGACATCCTGGACTCAGTGACCTCCAATCAGTGGACCACAGGACCACCAAATTAAACATGGGCATGCCCATTTTTCCACAGAACATTACTACTTTGACAGCCAAGAAATAGATGACATTTACAGGTTTCCAGAGAACCTTCAATAAACTAAAAAGTGAGGCCCAAACAACATCCCCAATAAGGACACAGCATTATTTTGCTCAAATGCCAATCACTGGCTCTTACTGTGGCCCCATGGTCCCCAGCAGAGGCCAGCACTGACCACCTCATCTGCAAAGGACCCCAGCCCTCAAGTAAAGTGGACTCAGGGATTAGGATTTGCCTTTTAAAGGTTTGTTTTGCATCTCAAGCTCCCTACAGGAGACGACATGCTGAGAATGAAATGGTCCGTCCTAGAAGCCCTGTTGTCTGCACAAAGGCTAATCTTCTCCCAGCTCTCGTGACTGTCTGTGCCCACAGCTAAATGAGCACGTGCGAATTCCCTGGCTTTTGTCCCATGCATTCTTAGTATTAGCCCTGCTGAGAGAAGCGACAGGCTAACTGAGAATGGTTGGTCTTCCCAAAATGAACCCAAACTACGAATAAGCTCATTTTCCATTTTTATCTACTTTTTCTCTTCTCGCAGGCCACTGCTCGATCCGAGTGCAGCGCGATCACCCCCAGACACCAGCCCCAGGCTCGCCATGGCGGGCTCCATCAGTAACCCCGCTTTCCCGACTCCCCAGCTCAGCTACAGCAACCCCCTGCGGCCGGCCGTATCAGCTGTCACTCAGCACCAACCAGCGTTCCACAGCAGAATCCTCCCTGCTTCGACGTCATTCACCTCACACCGGACCTCAGAGAGCTCTGCACACGGCCCGCCGGTGCCCGCGACTTCCTCCCACGGACGCTCAGTGTTCAGAATCCAAACTCTCGTGCTGTCCGAGCAACAATAACAGAACCGATCAGCGTCAAGATTTAAGCGGATATGACCGCTCCAGACCACTTCCGTTTACTGTAAATCAATGTTCCTAGCCTTTTTTCCAGTGGAGGAAGGCGCAACGCATGCGCACCATCACTTGTGAAGGTACATCTTGCCAATACTCACTTTGGATCATCAGGTAGTTTCTGTTCCGTTAGTAGCTGTCATGGCCTCTCCCACCATCACGGTACCTTAGTTCCACATAGCCAGGTAAGGCTTATGGAATGTGATTACAACGAAAGTCCAAGGGGCTTAATTTCCTACTGAGACATTACATATTACTAAAATAGCATTTCTATGTATGTTATCAGGGACTTAAAATTTTCTTTTTTCTCTAAATTAAAAAAAAATTAAAACTAGGCACAGTTGTTGGAAAATGGAAATTGAAGCCATATGGAACCTTAAAAGGTGAGAATCTGAAATGGATGTAGTACTGGGGCATTTAGTGGTCACCAGAGGTGGGGAGATCTGCTGTAGGTTTTTTTAATTGTTCATTATTTATTTATTGTGTGTTTTGCATATATAGAAAATAGTGTAGAGCTGGGTGGAAGGGGAAATAATGGTGAATGGGGAGAGACCAGTTGACAGTGAAAGCATCCAGTCCAGTCGAGTGACTAAGTTAACAGGTCAAAGTCGAGTATCCAATAAAATGAAAGATTATCGCAGCACTGTAGCACGAATCTTAAAAGGTCTTACCAATAAAAACCAACCCAGAGCCAAGTATTGGCTGAACGCTGAAAGATCAGAGAAACAGAACAAGCCACAGCCAACCTCACCTCGCCAATTCCTCAGCTGATCTTGTTTCCTCAAACTGAAAGTTTCTGAGTCCTCACCCGAATGGATCTCAGCTGAACTGCTGCTCAAAGGCCTAAAAGATTAAAAAGCCTCTAGTTCCCAGTCTCATGCCTCATATACCTTTTTGTTTTCTGCCATCACTTCCTGGGATTGAAGGTGTGTGCACCATGCCTGGCTGTTTCCAGTGTGGCTTTGAACTCACAGAGATCCGGATGGATCTCTGCCTCCCAAGTGATAGGTGTGTGTGCCACTGTTTTCTGGCCTCTGTATCTATCTAGTGGCTGTTCTGTTTTCTGACCCCAGATAAGTTTATAAGGGTGCACAACATATTGGGGGACACACTATCACCACACAGCATCTTCAGGTTAAAACCCTCTAGCTCTGTGTAGACCAGGCTGGTCTTAAACTTGCTGTGATCCTCCTGCCTCTGCCTCCCAAGGGCTGGGAGGGATGTGCCATCATGCTTGGCTTTCCAGATGACCTTGGTCATCTTGAGAACAGACTATAGAAGTGGTTGTGAGTGACCAGAGTTTTATGCCCAAAGAATAGTCTCAGCCACCCATCACCACATGTCAAAATTATAATAAAGGATGTATAAGTTAATATAATGCAAATGTCATCTGCTCATTCGTCTGCTACATCTCAGCATATCATTGATAGCCACACCCACTTATTGCAGCCCAGCACCACCTTACTCTTCCAGAGTCACTTTCCTTATTTTTACCCCTCTAGTCGGTCAACCTGGCACAGTGCCCATCTGTCTTGCAGCCTGCGCCACAGCCAGTCCATCAGGCAGATGGAGCACTTGCCCCGTGGAGGTGACGAAGCACAAGAGCCAATCAGAAGGTGAAGCAGCTTGTCTCTCCATCTTTGTGCTCCATGAGATTGAGCTAACGGGCAGCTGAGGAAGCTGCCCTGTAGATATCATAAAGCAGTCCTGTGTATCAGGAGGCTGAATCACAGATACCCTAGAGAACTTCTTAGGCCAGGCATGGTGGTGAACAACCTCTAATCCCATGGTGGCAAATCTCTGTGGTTCCAGACCAGCCTGTTTTATACAGCGAGTTCCAGGCCAGCTAGGGCTACCCAGTGAGATCCTATCTAAACAAAATATAGCAGAAATGTACACAAAGCAAATTGTTAAGAAGGGTAAGTTTAGACACATACCTGGAGTAGTACTGAGATGTTTTAAGTGTGAGGTGGAGAACAGCATTTTCCAGAACAGAGTGGAAGTGAAGGTGGATAGATAAGTAGGTAAGTACATGGTAAATCTTAGAGCTGCTTGTGAGAGAGGAGATTCTGTGACGATGGGACTTTAGATATCATCCAAATTTCAAACAGTGAGCGGAGCTGGATATGACTGTGAAAGAATATAGATTATTTATAAATGGGGTCTCACATGCCCCAGGTTGGCCTCAAACTTCCTATGAAGCCAAGAATCACCTCAAAGACCTGATCCTCCTGCCTCTACCTCCTGAATGATTAGATTACAGGAGTGTATTACCATGCTCAATTTATGCAGTGCTAGAGATCAAGCCCAGGGCTTCACGGTAGGCAAACATTCTATCAATTGAGCTAAGTACCCAATCAGGAATTTGTTTTAAAACTGTAGTGAACGGCTATGTGATATTTTCTTTGTGATCTAACAAATACAGCTTGCCTAAAGGTCAGGGTGCAGAGCTAAGCCACTAGTTAGCCATAGAGGCCAGGCAGTGGTGGCACACACCTTTAATCCCAGCACTGAGGAGGCAGAGGCAGACGATCTCTGTGAGTTCCAGGCCAGGCTGGGCTACACGTGATTGTTCCATTCTAAAAGAGAAAAAGAGAAACAGAGCTAGTGGGTCATGGCTCACAACTTTAATCCCAGTACTGGGGAGTCACATGCCTTTGATCCCAGCACTAGGGAGGTGGAGACAGGAAGGGATATGGCTGGACAGAGAAGGAATATAAGGTGGGAGGAGACAGGAGCTCAGCACATTCAGTCCGAGGATTCGTGGAGTCAAGATCTTGCCCACTTTGGTCTGAGGATTCAGTAGAGGTAAAAGTTCTCTCTAGTGGTTGGCTTCTTTACTTCTCTGATCTTCCAGCATTTACCCCGATACCTAACTCTGGGTTTTTATTATTAAGACCAATTAGAATCTGTGCTACAAATGGCCACATAAACATCTTAAGTACAGGGCTGAGATGATCATATTCACGTTTCAGAAGGATTAGTTTTCCTACAGGAGAGCTGATGGTGGCAAGATCTGCATTTGTCCGACTTTCTTGTTGGACTTTCTCATGGGGATTGCCAGCTCCCAAATAATGACATGGAGACTTATTATTATGAAAGCTTGGCCTTGACCTCAGGCTTGTTCCCAACTAGCTCTTATAACCTAATTGCTTCTATTAATCTATGTTTTGCCATGTGGCTTTTTACCCCTCCTCCATTCTGAATGCCTGACTCCCTCCATGTCTCTGGCATCTCTCTCACGCACGTAGATTCATCCCTAGTTCCTGTCTCTGCCCAGCAGTCCCATCTAACCTCTCCTGTCTAGCTATTGGCCATTCAGCTCTTTATTAAATCAATCAGGTGCCTTAGGCAGGCAAGGTAAAACAGTGACATCTTCACAGTGTACAAAAGGGTTATCCCACAACACGCATTCCAGAAGGACTGAAGACAACAAATGGAGGTTTACAATATTAACACTTTTCCTGCTCACCAATGGCTGCTAACCCATAACAGTGACACTTTACTGAAATATTTACAGTGTAGGACTGAGTGACAAGACCTGAATGCAGTGAAAAATTTCAACTTCACAGGGGAGAGATGACCTGGCATGCTGTGCACCTGGTAGGATGCAATAAAGCCTGCACGCTATACACATTGATTTGATTATGAAGAAAAAAATCAAATTATAATCTGATCATACTTCCAGGCCAGAGCTCTCAAGTGGAAATATAAAAAGAGCGACAAAATAATTTAGAGATTTCTAGTAGTCACCAGAATAGAAACAAATAGAGTTAATTCAATAGTGTATTTTATTTAGTCCAATATATCCAAATTATTATTCCTAGAAACTCAGCTTTCCAAAACCAGTGAGTAGCTATGAAATAAAAAAGTTAAAAGACTAAAGATTCGGGACCAGAGATATGTGTGTGAAAGAATTTGTGGGCCTCTTTTCTCAGGAAACATTTCCTCAGTTATTATGGGAGTATGAGGGGGGCTGCAAGGGCCTGCCCCTCAAGGTTATTTAAGCAGTAAACAGACGCTGGGAGGAGATGCTGGTGATACGGTTTCCACAATTGCCTGTAACAAGTCTTTCGCTGTCCTGCCAGCCAGCTCCCAAGTAATGGCATGGAGACTTATTATTAATTATGGAAGCTCAACTTATAGCTTAGGTTAGTTCCTCACTAGTTCTTGTAACTTAAATTAACCCATTTCTATTCATCAACATGCTGCCATATGGATCACGGCTATTACCTCTTCTCCTGCATGTCCTTGTGGTGGTATTGTGTTCTCCAAAATATTGTGCACCCTAATAAACTTACCTGGGGTCAGAGAACAGGACAGCCACTAGATACAGAGGCTAGAAAATGGTGGCACTTATGCCTTTAATCCTAGCATTCCAGAGGCAGAAATCCCTCTGGATCTATGTGAGTTCAAGGCCACATTGGAAACAGCCAGGCATGGTGACACACGCCTTTAATCCCAAGAAGTGAGCCTTTAATCCCAAGAAGTGAGCCTTTAATCCCAGGGAGTGATGGCAGAAAGCAGAAAGATATATAAGGCGTGAAGACCAGAAACTAGAAGCATTTGGCTGGTTAAGCATTCAGGCTTTTGAGAAGGAGTTCAGCTGAGATTCATTTGGATAAGGACTCAGAGGCTTCCAGTCTGAGGAAACAGGATCAGCTGAGGAATTGGCAAGGTGAGGTGGCTGTGGCTTGTTCCGCTTCTCTGATCTCCCAGCATTCACCCCAATATCTGGCTCAGGTTTGATTTTGTTAATGAGACTCTTTAAGATTCCTGCTACATGTCCTGCTTGTTCTCCATCTCCTGGTGTCTCTGGATTCCTCTTTCTACTTCCTTTCTGCCCAGAAGTCCCACCTATACCTCTTCCTGCCTACCCATTGGCCATTCATCTCTATTTTAAACCAATCACAGTGGACATTTGTGCTTTTCCTTACAAGTTCTTTTTTTGAGCAATTTGTCTCATATATAATATCTTATATGTTTAAATGAACAATGAATATCTAGACTTTTTTCTTAAATACAAATTCTACAATGTACAATGCAACCTCTTTAAAAATGCAGTCTTCTGTGGTGGTTTGAATGAGAATAACTCCTAAGCCTTGTTTATGTATTTGAATACTTGGTACTTAGCAGGTAGACATTTGGGGAGGTATTAGGAAGTGGGGCCTTGTTGAAGGAGGTG